AATTGACTACATTTGTAGAAAGAGATGTTGGAAAAGCTCCATATCATCAGCCCAAACAAGACCAGGATAGACCGTGGAGCTGACCATTAATTTCTCATATGCAAGTTTAAAAGGCTTAAGTTGAAGAAAACTAAAACAAGTCCAAAAGAGTCAAATATGACCTTGAACATATCCCACATGAATGTAGAGATCATCTGAAGAAATGATTTGATTCATTAGACACAAAAGACCAAAGACCAGAAGAGTTGTGTGATTCCATCAAGAACATCATATAGGAAGAAAGCAAAAAGTCATTAAAAAGAGAAGAAAGAAGGAAAAGACCAAAAGGGATGTCTGAGGAAACTCTGAAACTTGCTCTCCAGCACAGAGATGCCAAAGCAAATGTAAGACATGGGAGGGTAAAAGAGTTTAAAAGAAGATTTCAAAGGTCAGCTCAAATAGACAAAGTCAAATGTGCAAAGTCTTGGAATTAGAAAAACAAAAGGTAAGAACACTAAGCATTTCTCAAGCTCAGGGAAATGAAGGAAAAATTTAAGCCTCCACTTGAAATATTGAAGGATTCTATAGGCAAAATTTTATGGAGTCCTGGTGTGGCGCTGTGGGTTCATGTGCTAAACTGCAAAGTCGGTTTGATCTTCAAGGTTGGTGGTTGAATTTCACCAGCAACTCCTCAGAAATCCTATACAGGGTCATTATGGGTTGGAACTGCCTTGATCGCACTTAACAATAACAACAACAACATGGGCAAAATATTTAATGATGTAGAAAGCATCAAATGAAGACAGAAGGAATATACAGAGACACTGTACCAAAAAGACATGGTCAATGTTCAACCGTTTCAAGAGGTAACATATGATCAAGAGCCAATGATATTGAAGGAAAAAGTCCAAGGTGCATTGAAGACATTGACAAAGAACAAGGCACTGGAAATAGATGTAATACAAATTGAAATCTTTCAACAGACTGATGCAGATCAAAAAGCACTATCTGTGCCAAGACATTTGGAAGACAACTATCTAGCCAACTGACTGGAAGAGATCCGTATCTGTGCCCATTCCAAAGAGAGATGACTCAAAGGAATACAGAAATCATGACAATATCATATGCAAGTAAAACTTTGCTAAGGATAATACAAAAATGATGGCAACCATGCATTGACAGAGAACACCCAGAAGTTCAAACCAGGTCCAGAAGAGGACGTAAAACAAGGGATGTCATTGCTGACATCAGATGGATCTTAACTAAAAGCAGAGAATACCAGAAAAATGTTTACTTGTGCTTCATTGACTACGCAAAGGCTTTCAATTGTGTGGATCATGACAAACTATGGACAACATTGAAGAGAATGAGTATTCTAGAACATTTAATTGTGCTCATGAGGAACCTGCATATAGACCAACAAGCAGTTGTTCAAAAGGAACAAAAGAACACTGAATGGTTTAAAATTAGGAAAGGTGTGCACCATGGTTGTATTCTTTCATCATATTCATTCAATCTATATGTTGAGCAAATAATCCAAGAAGCTGGATTGTATGAAGAATAATCCTACGATGTGAAGATGATACAACTTTTCTTGCTGAACGTGAAAAGGACTTAAAATACTGATGAAGATCAAACACTACAGCAAAGATGTCAGTTTGAGGATTAAGTGCTCTTGACCCATGCCATGGTATTTTCATTAACCTTGTATGCTTGTGAAAGTTGGACACTGAATAAAGAAGACCATATAAGAATTGATGCATTTGAATTGTGGTTTTGGAGGAGTATATTAAAAGTACCATGGACTGTCAAAAACAATCCAATATGTGTTGGAAGAAATACAGCCAGAATGCACATTAGAAGCTAGTATGGCCAGACTTTGTCACTCATACTTCAGACATATTATCAGTTGGGACCAGTACCTGAAGGAGGATATCATGTTTGGTAGAAGGTCTGAGAAAGTGAGGAAGACCCTCAACAAAATGGGTCAGCACAGTAGCAGCAGCAGTGGACTCAAATGTAGCAACAATTATGTTGGTGCAGGACCAGGCAGTGTTTCATTCTGTTGTGTGTAGGGTCACTATGAGTCAGAACCCACTCAATGTCACCTGACAACAACAACAACAAATATATATGAAATATTCAGAATAGGAAATCCATTGTGCTGGAAAGTAGATGGTGATTGCCAGGATGGGAGAAACGAGGAAATATCCTTTCAGATTGATAAAATTGTTTTGAAACAACACAGTGAAGGTATTAAATGCCAACAATTGCTATTTTTATAATGGTTATTTTTATGTTATGTGAATTTTACCTTGATTTTAAGAGGAGAAAAATGAAACCAAACAGTAACAAAAGAGTTAAAGGAAAAAAAAAAATACCAGATGGGTAAATATTAAATGTAAAAATAGTTAAATCATAAGATGTCAGAAGAAAATAAACATTAAAAGAATAATATTGGGATAGAAAAAGTTTTTCTAAGCATGTCAAGAAAACCAGAAATGAGAAAGGAAATTATTAATAGATACCTTATATAATATTTTAAAATATTTACAGCGAAACAAAATACACTAGGATGAGTGTAAAACCGATGTTCTCCCATGTAAACTACCACTCAATTCACAATAAATACTAAAAAAAAGGATACAAAACATAAGTGATATAAAAGGGTTATTACCATTGATACATAAAAAAACTACTATATAATAATAAGGCTAATAATCTTGTCAATTTAATTTTTTGTTAGTATCCTAGCTTGCTTTGAAATCATTGATTCATCAGGACAAATGAGCAAGCAGTCCAAAAAGACAAAAGAGTTACTGTCAAGAGTTTCTGGCTCTCTAGGCCCCTACCACTTCTTCTGTCAGTTTGTTAAACTTTTGCTGTGATGCTGAAAGCTATGTCAACGGTATTTCAAATACCAGTTGGGTTATCCATGGTGGACATGTTTCAGCGGAGCTTCTAGACTAAGACAGACTAGGAAGAAAGAATAAGCAGTTCACTTCTGAAAAATTAATCATGAAAACATGGAAAATTATCTGGTATACAGCCAGTCCCCAAGGTTGAAACCGACCAAACCAAACCCAATGGCAACAAGTCAATCTGACTCATAAAAACCCTAGAGTATAGAGTAGAGCAGCTCCTTAGGGCTTCCAAAATTGTAAATCTTTACAGGAGCATACTGCCTCATGTTTCTCCTGTGGAATAACTGATGGATTTTAACTGCCAACCTTGCAGGTAGCAAGCAGCCCAGTGCTTAGCCCACAGCATCACAGGGCTCCTCCTCCAGAACTGCC